TGTATTCAGGAACCCGACAGCAAAATAGCAGGGGGGTTATCAAGTTGGGACCCCTCTTGATCAGCACCCCTTGTGTGTCGAGGTTCGTTTATTTTATTCGGAGCTGGCCAGCAGCCGGCACTGTTCGGTACTCAGAACAAACCCATGTGGCATATTTGACGCGACACTGTACCGAACGAATTTCGTTTCGCGTCGCGCGTTGTGGGCTGCACGACGTGGCACACGATTTTTCCACGTCAAAACGGGCCCCACTTGATTTTCGCCCGGGGAATGCACGAAAAACAGGAATAGCAGAGGGGGGTCCCTCTTGAACCCCCCTGCAGAAAAAGTCGAGGGCCACGTTGTCAAGTTATACATATATTGTTATGTAGAAGTTATAGGCTAGATCGGGTATGTTCTTAGTGGGTACAACCCAAACGCTGTATCTATCCTATTCTCCCTTCTTCTATTCATTCTTTCTAGTCTCAACATGGTATCACGAGTAGGTAGGTCCACCCACCCGCTTCCGCCCCTTGCCGCCACCTACCGGACCCTCGCGCCCCTAGCTGGCCCCTCGCACCCCTACGGCCTCGTCACGCCCCTAGCAGGCCCCGTCGCGCCCCTACGACCCCGTCGCGCCCCTTTGGCCCCGTCGCGCACCTAGCAGGCCCTGTCGTGCCCCTACGGCCCCGTAGCGCCCCTCCGGCCCCGTCGCGCCCCTACGGCCCCTCGCGCCCCTAGCCGGCCCCGTCGCGCCCCTAGCTAGCCCAGTCGCGCCCCTAGCCGGTCCCGTCGCGCCCCTACCGGCCCCGTCGCGCTCCTACGGCCCTGTCGCGCTCCTAGCCGGCCCCGTCGTGCCCCTACCGGCCCCTTGCGCCTCTAGCCGGCACTGCGCGCCACTACGGCCCCTCGTGCCCCTAGCCGGCCCCGTTGCACCCCTACCAGCCCCTTGCGCCCCTAGCCAGCCCCTCGCGCCCCTACGGCCCCTCGTGCTCCTACCGCCCCCCCCGCATCCCTAACCAGCCCCACGCGCCCTTGCCGGCCCTGCTCGCCCTAGCCGGCCCCTAGTGCCCTAGCCGGCCCCTTGCGCCCTAGCCGGCCTCGTCGCCTGAGCCGCCGAGCCTCCGTGTCTCCGAGCCGCCGAGCACCCTTTATTCCGAGCCGCCGAGCCGCCGTGCCGCCGAGCTGCCGCACCGCCGTGCCGCCATGTCCCCGAGCCGCCGCGCCACCAAGCCACCGAGCCGCCGAGTCGCTGCGCCGCTGTGCCGCTGTCACACTGTGCGATGGCGGACACCGTTCTTCGCTTAGACGCTGAGGGGCACGCGATCGACTTCGCCGCCTGGGTTGTCGACCTCTGCCGACACCTGACAGGTCTGTGCCAGGATGGGCACTCCCTGGCTATGCATGTAAATGGTTTGCTTCCCCGCCCCCTTGCGCCTGATCCCCTCCCGTCCTACTCTGTCTGGTGTGTCTCACGTTACTCCCCTCCCGTCGGTTGTCCCGGTCGAGGAGTCGGCTGACTCCGGTGGCCCCGCGGCGCAGTCTGCGCTGCCTGTCCCTCCCCCGGTGTCTCCTCCTCCCTCGTCGTAGTCGCCGCCGCAGCCGCATCCATCGCCGCAGCCGCAACCGCCGCCGCAGCCGCCGCCGTCAAAGCCGCCGCAGCCGCAGCCGTCGTCGCAGCCGCAGCCGTTCGTGGACTCTGGGGGTGCTGGAGTTGGAGAGGGTGCTAGTCCTGGGGCTCCTGTCGTGGCTTGTCCAGGCGGGTTCGGGGGTAGCACCGGCGCTGGAGACGTTTCTCGTTCTGGGGGTGCTGGCGTAGAGTGTACCGGAGGTAGCAGTGGTGCAGCTGGTGGTCCAAGTAATGGCGTTCAGCAGCAGCAGCAGTAGCCGCCGCCGCGGTCCTTTGCCTGCTCGGCCTTCCCTCCCCTGAACGCTCGCCTGCGCCTCCCTCGCCGTCTCCCCCTCTTCCTGTTCACTGTCCTCTGTTTCCTCCGCCAGACTTGTCCCCAGCTCGTTTCCCCTATCATTCCCCTCCTGTTACTCCTCCTCTGTCTCCTGACTCGACGCCTCCGTCTCACGTCTGGTCTCGCTGTCCCTCTCGTGCTCGTCTTGTCTCTCCTGTTCAGCGTTCTCACCCTATGTTGCTTCGTTCCCACGCGTCTCGTCCTCCCCGTTTGTCTTCACCTCCTCCATCGTCGCTCACTGCCGCGCCTCCCCCTCTGTCTGACTACCTTCGTGTTGCTCGTCCTCTTGTTCCTTGGGTCCTTGCCTCCCTTGTTACCGACCCGTCTGTTCCTGTCTCCTGTCGTGACACTCTTATAGCTGCTGTCGCTGTCTTTGCCTCTACTCACCGCCTTGACTTTGCTACCGTTCTAGTCTCTGACCTTGTCTGTCCTTCGTTCGTCGGGGGTGCTCTTGCCCTTGGTAGTGACGTCTTGGAGGACCGGCAGTACGAGCTTGCTTTCATGTCAGAGGCTGCTCCCCATCTCTGTTCCATGCTGCTAGTCCCTGAGGGTGACCCCGACGCCTTTGACATCTTGACCCATCGCACCTAGGCTGAGGCGACCTCGGGACTTTGGGCCTCTTAGTGGATAGCTGCCATGGAGCAAGAGATGGCATCTTGGAGGGCTACCGGCACCTACGTCGACGCTGTTCCCCCACTTGGAGTGAGCATAGTCGATGGCCGGTGGCTCTTCAAGGTGAAGCGCCCCCCTGGAGAGCCGCCTGCATTCAAGGCGCGCTACGTGGCTAGAGGTTTCACTCAGCGAGAGGGGGTGGACTTCTTTCAGACCATCGCCCCGACCCCGAAGATGACTACTCTTCGAGCGCTGCTACACGTAGCAGCACAGCGTGACTACGAGCTTCACTCCCTCGACTTCTGCACTGCTTTCCTTCAGGGCAGCCTACACGAGCTGGTCTACCTGCGCCGCCCTCAGAGCTTCACCGGTACTTTCCCTCCGCCGCCCCATCTACGGCTTGCGACAGGCGCCCCGTGAGTGGCATGACACACTACGTGCCACGCTAGCTGACCTGTAGTTCTTTCCGTCCTCTGCTGACCCTTCGCTCTTCGTTCGTGCTGGCCAGACTCCGTTCTACATCCTAATCTACGTAGATGACCTGGTCTTTGCTATAGCTGACAGAGACGCGCTAGCCTCTGTCAAGGCTGAGCTGCTGAGGCGACACACCTGCACTGACCTGGGAGTGCTGCGCCGCTACCTTGGCTTGCAGATCTCCAGGGACAAAGCAGCGCGCACCATCACTCTTATACAGTCACACTTGGTGCGCCAGGTCCTTCAAAGGTTCGGTCTTCAGTTCTCCTCCGCACAGCCCACACCTCTGCCGGTAGACCACATGCTCTCAGCTCCAATTCCCAAGGAGTCAGCAGAGCCCAATGGTCCTTACGCAGAGCTGGTGGGTTGCCTCATGTACCTGATGACTTGCACTCGCCCAGATCTCGCATACCCTCTCAGCATCCTGGCCTGCTTTGTGGCCACAAGCAGACACCGACCACAGCACTGGTCGGCCGCTAAGAGGCTTTTGCGTTATCTTGCAAGTACATCGGGCATGGGGCTAGTGCTGGGAGGACGCAGGCCAGTGGTCCTTACTGGGCACACAGACGCTTCTTGGGCAGACGATGCTGAGAGCCTCCGGTCCTCGCAGGGCTACTGCTTCAGCCTTGGTTCTGGTGCCATCTCGTGGAGATCCACTCGCTCCTCGTCTGTTGCTCAGTCTAGCTGTGAGGCTGAGATCTATGCCGGTGCCATGGCGGCACAGGAGCTCCGCTGACTGGCCTTCTTGCTTGCCGACTTAGGTGAGCGGCCTAGCTCTGCCCCGGTTCTATACGCTGACAACAAGGCCATGATCCTTCTGTGCCAGGAGCCTCGACTTGAGGGCAGAGCGAAGCACATCCAGTTGCGGTACTTCCTCCTGTGCGAGCTTCAGCAGCGTCGCCAGGCCCGCGTAGTACACTTGGACTCTGGTGCCAACACAGCTGATATCTTTACTAAGGCGCTTCCGCCTAGAGATCATCAGCGGCACTGCTTGCGGTTAGGTCTAGTGTCTTGTGACTCTCACTTGCTAGGCCCTTGATTGTGTACTCCTTTCTATTTATCTAGCCTAGGGGGTGTGTCAACTTATACGTATATTGTTATGTGAAAGTTATATGCTAGATATGGTATGTTCATAGTGGGTACAACCCGAACGCTATATCTCTCATTTTCTCCCTTCTTCTATTCATTCTTTCTAGTCTCAACACACGTGGCGTGTGACAAAAGTCGCAGGGGGGCTGCACAACGCGCCAGGCTATCAATATTTTTTCGCCTCGAGCCCACATTCGCTAATACTCTCGCGCAACCAATAGGATTGGTGCAATCCCCTTTTGTTTTTGGACAGTTACAAAATTTGGGGCACTGGGACGTTTCGTTTTTTTGCCAGGTTTTGGGATTTTTTTTCACCCACTCAACAATCAAGAGAGGGACCCCCTCTGCTATTTTGCGGTCGGGTTTTAAACAGCGTCTTTTCTGTATTGACCATGTTTATTCAGTGCAAAATTTATACAACACGATGATTGATTAGCGTTTTTTTTTTTGCAAGGCCTGAAAAAACAGGGAGCTACGAGGGGGGGACCCTGAGCGATCAGTGTGCCCCAAAACGAATCTGAGGCCCTGCCGCCTACCCTTCCTAGCTACCTAGCCTATATCGTGACAGCCCCAACCTGTTCGCGTGGTTCTCGGCTAGCTCTGTTCGTGCCTATAAATGCCTAGGCCCTCATCTGTATTGACACGCTTGAATCACGAATGCTTTATTGCATTACCTGTTGTTACTCTGATTAATTCATAAAAAGAAGTGCCATGAAATGCGGATATTTTCTTGATTACACGCACGTTCCAAAATGTAACAAAGGATATCATGTCTTCACCCGCACTACAATATCGCATCCGTCCATGGTCGGTGCCAAGCCAATGGAAAAAATTGGGCCCTCCCTGGCCTGTCTGACATCCAACCATTTGAATCCTTGGGACTCCCGCGATCCGTGGAAATTCTGTCAGACTAAAGTGGCCCGGGACTTCCAATTGCCGTTGATTGCACTGCCAGCTGCTATTGCATCGACTTAGTTTCCACCTTTTTACATTGATCCTTCTTACAAACCTGGCCGTTTAGAAGTTGTGTTAGATTCGTCAGATTCATAAATCCTTCGCCGCACGGCGTCATTTCGTGATCTCGTGTATAAAGCGAAATTCTTATACTTCTTCAAAATAAACATTTTAATTCGTCCGTACCCGTTTAATGGCGCCTCGTTCTCGTGCCCGTGCTCCGCTCAAACACTACGTCGATAGCGTCTCTCTAGACGACGAGGAATTCTCCGTCGGCGATTCCGTCTACGTCAAGATCGACGGCGGCGATGCTGCCAACGGAGCATCCGACGCCGCCGACGGCTCGGATTCAGGCGAGTCTGATGCGAGCGACGAGGAGTGCGGAATTTGCGGGGAAGTCGGGGATGCGGGAGAGGAGGAGGAGGAGGAAGAGGAAGAGGATGAGGATGCGGAGGACGGGGAAGGGGAGGGGGAGGGGCAGGGGAGGATGATGGTGGGGTGCGATGGCATCAAGCCCCGTACTTCTCGAAAATCGCTCTCAGCGAATGTGATGGTGGAGTGTGATGGCTGCCTTGGTGGTTTCCACCTCGGTTGCCTCGACCCGCCGCTCGCGGAAATCCCGGAAGGGGATTGGTTTTGCGCAGGTTGTGCTGGAGGGAGCGGGGACGGGGGGAGCGGAAAAAGGGGACGCAAACTTGGGATGGCGGAGGAGGAGGGGAAAGCGGGAGAGGTGGGGAAGGCGGGGAAGGCGGGGGAGGCGGGGGACGCTGGGAAGGAGCAGAAGAGGCGGCGGACGGCACGGGAGCGAGTGTTTGATGGGAAGCTTGCGATTGGTCGGATCGAGCGGATATGGCGCATGGCTGGAGGGCTGGAAGAAACAGCGGAACGCGGAAGTGAGGAGGCCGAGGAGCAGGAAGGAGTTGGGGGGAAGGAAGGAGAGAAGGAGGAGGAAGAGGAGGGGGAGGGGAAGGGGAGTAGTAGCTGCTGGTGGTGCCGAGTGAGATGGTTTGTTTTGCCAGAGGAGACGGTGGAGGGACGGCAGGCGCACCACAGGAGAAGGGAGGTTTTCTTTGGAGACGTAGTGCAGGAAATAGAGGTGAGAGGGAGGGGGGCAGTGTGCGAGAAGTGTGAGGGGAAAGATTGGGGTGGTGCTGAGTGAGGAGGTGCTGAGTGAGGTGGTGCCGAGTGAAGTGGTGCCGAGTGAAGTGGTGCCGAGTGAAGTGGTGCCGAGTGAGGTTCTAATTTTGAGTGGACTCGAAAGTTCCTCTTCTGAGGTGCAGCAGAGTGCGGTGCAGCAGAGTGCGGTGCAGCAGAGTGCGGTGCAGTATGGCCTAGGAAACGATGCGTTCCTGTGCCACATGGCCTATGACTCTCGCAACTTGTGCCGAGCCATCCCCCCTGCTTCCTCCCTTTCCCTGTCAACCCCAGACCAGATGGCCTCAATACTGCACTCCTGATAGAAGATCTGTTTTTGAGACATCTCAAAACAGTACCGCGCACCTGCTAAGTACTCTCGGAGCCTCTCTTCTCAGCAGCAGCGCTCGAGGGGACGACATGTTCCTGTGCCGCAAAAGTCATTCCCTCCTCTCTCTCCCGTTCCAGATTCCAACCCCAGATGGCCTCCATCCTGCGCTCCTGCAGAGTACTCCCAGAGCATCTCTTCTCAGCAGCAGCGCTCGGAGCCTCTCTTCTTAAAATACTCCTGGAGCCTCTCTTCTCAGCAGCAGCAGTGCTCGAGGGGGGCGATGCGTTCCTGTGCCGCATGGCGTATGCTTCTTCACTACTACTCCCCCCACCCCCCCTCTGTGTGCCCCAGATGGCCTCGATACTGCGCACCTGTGGTGCTCGTCTCAGCTGCAGCGCTCGAGAGGGGCAATACGTTCCTGTGACGCATGGCGTATGACCTTCATTCAATCAACCCTATTGTCATCCTCCCCTCCCCTCCCATCCTCCCTCCCTTTCACCCCCATATGGCCTCAATACTGGGCACATGCAAGGTTTTACCAGACCAGAGCCTCTGTTTACGGCAGCAGCGCATGAGGGGAGCTGGTTCTGAGAATTCACAAAAACCAAGGGTTTACCAGGCAGCAGCGCTCAAAGGGGACGATGTGTTCCTGTGCCTCATGGCATATGACTGGTCACTACTAGTTCCCCTGCTCTTTCTCCCCCTCCCACTACCCAGATGGCCTCGATTCTGCGCACCTGCAAGGTGTTGTTAGAGCGTGTCTTCTCAGCAGCAGCGCACGAGGGGGACGATGTGTTCCTGTGCCGTATGGCGTATGACTACTCACTACTAGTTCCCCTGCCCCACCCCCCCCTCCCCCGCCCTTGTGTGCCTCAGATGGCCTCAATACTGCGCACGTGCATGGTTTTACCAGAGCCTCTCTTCTCAGCAGCAGCGCACAAGGGAGACGATGTGTTCCTGTGCCGTATGGCGTATGGCTCCCGCAACCAGTGCTTCAAACGGCTGCCCAAGGGGTTTGGAGGAGCGAGGAGTGGAGCAGAGCCAGAGGGGGGGAAAGGGGGGAGGAAAGTGAAGGGGAAGGCGGAGGGGAAGGACGGAAGGGGAAGAGGCGTTAGAGCGAGTGATGAGGAGGTGATGAGGGGCACTCGTAGAGAAAGGGGGGAGGAGGATGGGGAGAGCAGGGGGAGTGACGAGAGTGAGTCTAGTGGGAGTGACAGTAGCGAAGGGCTGGGTGATTTTAGTGATGATGATGATGGTGAGCTTAGTCTAGATGAAGAGGCGGAGGATGCGGAGGACGAGGAGGAAGAGGAGGAAGAGGAGGAGTGGGGAGGGAGCTCGAGAAAGAGATTGAGGAAGGTCAACAGACATAAGGTGTGTTCCTCTGACTTGTGCGCCCCAACAGCATTGTTTGCACGATTGCTAACCTCCATTGTACCAGCCCTCCATTGTACCAGCCCTCCATTGTAACAGCCCTCCATTGTAACAGCCCTCCATTGTACCAGCCCTCCATTGTACCAGCCCTCCATTGTACCAGCCCTCCATTGTACCAGCCCTCCATTGTACCAGCCCTCCATTGTACCAGCCCTCCATTGTATGAGCCCTCCATTGTATGAGCCCTCCATTGTAACAGCCCTCCATTGTACCAGCCCTCCATTGTGCCAGCCCTCCATTGTGCCAGCCCTCCATTGTACCAGCCCTCCATTGTACCAGCCCTCCATTGTATCAGCCCTCCATTGTATGAGCCCTCCATTGTATGAGCCCTCTATGGCCCTCCATTGAATCAGCCCTCCTTGCGCCCTTTGTCATCCCCCCCTTCTTTCGTGCCTACGGAGCACTTGGGAAGAAGAAGCAACAGCAGCAACAGTTCCCCCTTCTGCGTCGCCCAAAGAGTGTGTTCACGCCACCTCTTCGCACGCTCCTTCCACTTCCTCTCACAATTGAATCCGCCAGGCGGTCCACACACAGAGGTTGGTAAACAGAGGAGGAGGCGAAGGCTGGATTAGAGTGGCTGCTTGGCGCCTTCACAGGGTGGTGGGGGCGACCTCGGGCTGCTTGCAGTGTTCCATAGTGCAGAGGCCCTCTGTCCTTCACAGGGTGGTGGGGGCGACCTTGGGCTGTTTGCAATATTCCATAGTGCAGAGGCCCTCTGTTCTCACATGCTTTCTCTTTCACGCGTGTTTTTGGACCGCCATTGCTCTCCCCGCACAGGGCGACAGGCGGAGGAAGAGGCGAAGGCTGGGCAGGAGCAACGGTTCTGCGGCTTCACACAGTGACGGTGATCACGGGCTGTTCGCAGTGTTCCACGGCGAAGAGAGGAGGGGAGGAGGAGGAGGGAACATGGGAGAGCCTGCGGGGGAGAGAGGAGATCCGAGAGAGGATGCATGGGGTGTGGAGGACGGGGAGGGGCATGTGGAGGAGGAGGAGGAGGAGGAGGAGGACGGGGAGGAGGGGGGCGGGGGAGAGGCACTACAGCAGGACAGGGGAGGAATGGCTGTGGTGCGGAGGGCCAAGAGAGCGCTGCAGCTGTCCCGAGTGCCGCCGTGCCTGCCGTGCCGCGAGAAGGAGCAGGGGGAGGTGCAGGGGTTCGTGGAGAGAGTCGTTGGGGGAGGTAGATCTGGGGAAGGTGGTTCTGGGGGAGGTGGTTCTGGGGGAGGTGGATTTGGGGAAACAGGAGGAGTGACAGGAGAAGGCAAAGGGGAAGCTGAGGGGGCGGAAGGGGGAAACGCTCTGGAAGGAAGGCGTGGTGGGAGAGGGAAGGGGAGTGGGAGTAGGAGCGGGAGAGGGAGAGGGAAGGGGCGTGGACGAGGGCGAGGAAAGGGGAATCAAACAGTGGAGAAAGGGGAGCAGCAGCCAGAGGAAGAGAAGGGGCAACGGGAGGGGACTGCACAGCAGGAAGGGGGAGAGCAGCATGCGCATTCACGTTGTTTATATATATCTGGAGTGCCGGGCACGGGCAAGACAGCAGTGGTGATGGAGGTGATGCGACAGGCGAGGAGGAAGAGCAGAGTTGGGTTACTCCCTGCGTTCCAGTTTGTTCACATCAACGCGCTCCGCCTGCCCACACCCACTGCTTTCTTCTCTGTGAGTGCCTCTTTGTGTCTGCCTGGACACCGCCTGCCTCTTAGAGGCTCCCCATCTCTTGAGGCACCGCTAGGCTGAAGAGCCGGGAGCGGCTGCTTCCGCCCTTTCAGTTTGTTCAAATAAACGCGCTCCGCCTGCCCACACCGCCTGCCCATACTGCCTGCCCACACCGCATGCCCACACTGGTTCCTTCTTCTCAGTGAGACATCAACACCCTCCGCCTGCCCACAACCCTGTCCTTCTCCTCCAGTAAGCCTGTATTTGTTCCTCCATGTCGATTCATTTAGCAGCAGCTCCTTACCTCCCTTTCCCTTCCCTGTGTGCAAGGGAAATAGACTAACCTCCCTTTCTGTTGTACAACTGCTCCACATGTCCTCAGGAGTCTTGTTTTGAGGCGCCTAAAAAATAGACTTACCTCCCTGTCCTTTTCCCCTAGCGTGACAATCATCGAGCTTTCTTAGACGTCTCTAAACTCCCAATAACCACATGTAACCGGCCAGAGAGTATCCCGGAAGAAAGCCCTGCAGTCCTTCCAGCCACCGCTCGCTTTGCCTCTTGCCCTCCCGCTCCCCTTACTCTCCTCGTCCTCATTCTCCCCTCCCACACTGCAACAGGTCCCCTGGAAGAAAGCCCTGCAGTCCGCCGTCTCCCCTCCCGTTCACCAGGTCTTCTGGGAAGTCCTCGGCCAGAGGGTCGCCTGGATGAAATCCCTCCGCTCCCTTCCCTCAACCTCCACGTCTCCTCCCATCCCATCCCCCGTCCTTGCATGCCCCTCGCTATACTCACACTCCAAATTATTAGGTCCTCTGGGAGGCACTAACTGGCCAAAGGATCGCCTGGAAGAAAGCCCTCCACTCCCTCAACCTCCGATTCGCCTCCTCTCCCTCCTCCGGGGCAGTAATGGGCAGAGGCAGGGGGCGGGGGAGAGGAGGAGGGAGAGGGAGGGGAGGAGGGCGGAGGGATGGGGAGGGGCAGAAAAGGGGAGGAGGAGCGGGCGTATGTGTGCTGCTGGTGGATGAGATGGATCAGTTGATTAGCAAGGACCAAAAGGTATGAGGGGATATGAAGGGGTGTAAATGGGTTGTGAGGGGTGCATTGTGGTGCGCCTTAACATGTGTGTTGTGTCACTGTCTCTGCATGTGCGTGCTGCTGGTGGATGCGATGGATCAGCTGATCAGCAAGGACCAGAAGGTGAGAGAAGGTGAAGGGCTGTGCAGGGGTTGTGATGGGCTACCAAGGGGTACTAAGGGGTTGTGAGTTGTCACTACGCGTGACTGAGCGTTTTGCTGGACCATGAGATGGATCAGCTGATCAGCAAGGACCAGAAGGTGAGAGAGGATGGGTAACAATTGTTTCTGGGGGGTGCGGAAGGGCAGGGCAGGGCAGGGCAGGGCAGGGCTGGTACTCTACAGCATCGTCGAATGTACGACATGGAACTCTTAGTAACGCCGAGCTAACAAGCACCTGAAAACACCTGGGGCTACCTGTAACACGTAACTGCTCCTTCCGCCCACCATCCACAGGTGCTCTACAACATCTTTGAATGCACAACCTGGAGCTCAAAGACCCGTAACACCTGTAACACCTGTAACACCTGTAACACCCGTAACACCTGTAACACCCATAACACCTGTTACACCTGTAACACCTGTAACACCTGTAACACTTTTAAAACACCTTTTCTCCATGCTCCCTCCAACTCGCAGGTGCTCTACAACATCTTTGAATGGACCACCTGGAGCTCCTCACGCCTTGCCGTGATTGGTAGGTTCTGCCTTCTGTTTGTCGTTGATTCAAATCACGGTAACTGTTGCTAAAAAAGGTAATTGTTTCTGCTTTTGGTATGTGCTGTTGTTGCTGGAAAGCGCTACTGTTATTGTTGTGACCTTTGTGGAAAGCGCCTTCTCCCCAGCAGGATGGGGCTGCACCGCGTGCCCTTTGCACCCTTCATTTGCCATGGTGCCCCTCGTTACTGATTGATTCCTCAACTCCTCCTTCCCAAGAGGAATCGCCAACACTGAAGAGTGATAGGTTTTTTTAGAATTCTCAACAACACTATGTACCTGCCTGTATGACTGCACCCCCACATCGCCAGCAGGTTTGGGTGGCGCCGTGTGCTCTTTGCTCCCTACATCTCCCATCAACCCTCGCTCCTCCTCCCCCAAGCCGTCCCTCCCACTCACTCCCTTTGCAGGCATTGCCAACTCAGCGGATCTTCCTTAGCGCCTCCTACCGTGCATAGCCAGCAGGATGGGGCTGCAATGCGTGCCCTTTGTTTGCTTTTGAGGCGCCTCAAAAGCACCCTGCACCGGGAACTTGCTGTTTGCATCTCCCATCCTGCCCCTCTCTCTCCCGCCCATTTCCCCTCGTCCCCCCCCCCTTAACAGGCATAGCGAATACACAAGACCTGCCTGAACGTCCGGTCCCCCGCATGGCCAGCAGGATGGGGCTGCACCGCATGCCCTTCGCCGGCTCTTGTTGTTTGCATCTCCCTTCACTCCCCGCCGCGTCCCCGCCTCCCTCCCCCTAACAGGCATCGCCAACACAGTGGATCTGCCCGCATCGCCAGCAGGATTGGGCTGCACCGCGTGCCCTTCACTCCCTTCATCTACCATCCTTCCCCTCTTCCCTGCCCCCTTCCTCAACTCCTCCCCACCAACAGGCATAGCTAACACCGTTGACTTACCGGAGCGACTCTTACCACGCATCGCCAGCAGGATGGGCCTGCACCGCGTGCCTTTCTCTCCCTACACCCGCGACCAGATCGAGACAATTGTCGCCGCCCGCCTCCAAGCCTGTCAGCTGTTCGCGCCTAGAGCGATTGAGCTAGCTGCGAGGAAGGTGAGGCCAAGGAAAGAACAAAGCAGCTAGGTACTGGCCCGCTCAAACACAAGAGACTCTTGTCACTGTTCACTGTATTCGATATGATGAGCCCTATATTCTAACTTACTCTCTCAATTTGCTTCTCCCTCCCCACTGCCTGCAGGTGGCATTGGTGTCAGGGGACGCGTGAAGGGCACTTGAGATCTTTAGAAGGGCGGTGGAGATAGCTGAGGCGGACGCCAGGGCGGCACAGGCAGCAGGGACCACTCAAGCAGCCACGGCTGGTCGAGCTGTCTGTGTTGTCTCCTGCTCCCCTCCCTCCTCTTCCTGCCTGCAGGTGGCATCGGTGTCTGGGGACGTGAGGAGGGCACTTGAGATTTGCAGGAGGGCGGTTGAGATAGCAGAGGCAGACTCCAGGGCGGCACAGGCAGCTGATGCGGCTGAGGCGACTGAGGCGGCAGATGAAGCGGGGGCTTCTGCCACGCAAGCAGCTGTGGCTAGTCAGGGGCATCAAACCAAGAAGGGGGAGGGTGAAGCAGAAGGTTGTGAAGAGGCGGGGAGAAGGGGAGGAGGAGGAGAGGACAAGGGGGGTGGGGAAGAAGGGAAGGTCGCAGGGAGGAGGGACGAGATGGAGGTGGGAGAAGCAGAGGGGAGTGAGGCAGGGAGGAGTCAGGAGGCGGGTGGGGAGGGGAAGGGCGGCAAGGAGAGGGGAGGAAGAAGGAAAGGAGGTGGCGAGGGGCTAATGGAGAATGCCAGTGCTAGTGGTGGTGCTGGTGCTAGTGGTGCTAGTGGTGCTAGTCGTGGTAGTGGTGGCATGAACGGTGCTCATGCTACCACTCCCACACGGCAGTTGAGACCTAGGAGAGGGGTGAGAGGTGGTGAGCAGGGTGCAGGAGAGAACACTGGTGGTGGTGTGAACGGTGCTCATGCAGCCACTCCCACACTGCCAGCTCAACACAGTGATGATGGTTCTGGTATGAACGGTGCTCATGCTACCACTCCCACACAGCAGTTAAGATCGAGGCGAGGGGTGGGAGGCGGTGAGCATGGTGCAGGAGAAGAGGCGTGTTTCAAGCCGACTCAGAATGCTGGTGGTGGTGGTGTGAACGGCGCTCATGCAGCCACTCCCACACGAGAGTTAAGACCTAGAAGAGGGGTGAGAGGGGATGGTCAGGGTGCAGGAGAAGAGATGTGTAAAAAGGTGGAAGGTGGACAGGCATTGGGAGAGGCTGATGAAAAAGCGGCGTGGGATGGGAAGGTGGAGGGAGACGGCAGCACGGGCAGCAAGGGAAGGCAGCAGCCGCTGATGTTGCAGTCGCAGCATGGGAGGGAGGCGAGCAACGGGGCGATAGATGGAGATGGGGCAAAGGAGAGGTGTGCCCTGCTGGTGGTGCAGATAGAGCATGTGGAAGCAGCCATTAGGGAGATCTTCTCCTCGCCACATATTATGGTGCGTGTGTGTAGTGTGTCTCTCTGCATGCAATGCATTACACATGCTGCATCCACAACATAATGCATGGCTGTGGATGGAAACATGGCAGCACAGCATACCGCCCCGCTGGTGGTGCAGATAGAGCATGTGGAAGCATCTATTAGGGAGATCTTCTCCTCGCCACATATTATGGTGAGTAGCATGCGTGTCAGTGCGTGTAAGTGCGTGTCAGTGCGTGTCGGTGCGTGTCAGTGCGTGTCAGTGCGTGTCAGTGCGGTCGGTGCGTGTCAGTGCGTGTCGGTGTGTGTGCGTGTGCGTCCATGCAATAACCCCCCCCAACCACCACCGTTCCCTCCGTATTGTGTCGTGTGTATCAGTGCGTTATCACCTCCGTAGCGTGGACATTTGAGTCGACTCAAAAGTCAGTCGACTCAAAAGTCAGTCGACTCAAAAGTCAGTCGACTCAAAAGTCAGTCGACTCAAAAGTCAGTCGACTCAAAAGTCAGTCGACTCAAAAGTCAGTCGACCAAAAGTCAGTCGCCCAAATGTCAGTCACTCAAAAGTCAGTCGACTCAAATGTCAGTCGACTCAAAAGTCAGTCAACTCAAAAGTCAGTCGACTCAAAAGTCAGTCGACTCAAAAGTCAGTCGCCCAAAAGTCAGTCGACTCAAAAGTCAGTCGACTCATAAGTCAGTCGACTCAAAAGTCAGTCGAATCAAAAGTCAGTCGACTCAAAAGTCAGTCGACTCAAAAGTCTGTCGAATCAAAAGTCAGTCGACTCAAAAGTCTGTCGAATCAAAAGTCAGTCGTGAGTATCAGTGCGTTATCACCTGCGTAGCCTGGACATTTCGTGCTTTCATATCTGCAGATCGAAGCGACTGCTCGTTCCTCCTTATGCCCGATCTGCGGATCAGCCGTTGAGTTGGTTTTCAAGAACTCTCATAAACCAACTCTGCTCGTTCCTCCTTCAGACGTTTGAGTCGACTCAGAAGTCCTTTTCCTCATAAACCTACTCTACTGGTTCCTCCTTTTGCCCACCTTGCAGATCAGCCGTTGCCTGTCAGTCGTAAGAACGAACATGATTTTTGAGGCGCCTCAAAGATCAGTCGTGGAAATTAACTCCCTTCTTGCCCTCTCAGTTGTACAGAAGACTTTCCTCCCTGCCCTCCCCTCCCTCTCTGTTTACCTGGCTGACACCTCGTGCCCTCATGTCCTCGTGACACCTCTCCCCTTTGACACTTATCGTCCTCAACCCACCCCACCCTCTTCCCCACCCCCCCCTTGCCCCCAGATCATTCGCCGCCTGTCTGCAGTTGAAAAGATCTTCCTCGCAGCGCTCTCCTTTGACCTCCACCGCTCCGGTGCTGCAGAAACCACCTTTGGAAAGGTAAGGTCTCACATCCCCTTTCAAGTCCATCTCGACTTCTTCACACTTCCCCGAGGTTGCCTCCCCCCCCCCAGCCGCAGCACCTGTGCCACGGCTGGCTGCAGCACCACTCAGCCTCCAAGTTACACAGAACCCAAGCCCATCTCGACTTCTTCACACTTCCCTGTGCTTGCCTCCCCCCCTCCAGCTGCAGCACCTGTGCCACGGCTGGCTGCAGCAGTACATTGGCCGCTAAGCGGTGGATTCCTCACCTACACTAGATCCTCAAACCCCTCTGTTACTTCGCTGCGACTTTTGAGTCGACTCAAGAGTCAAACCCCTCTGTTCCCTTCGCTTCCCTGTGCTTGCATTGCATCTCCCCCTCTAGGTGCAGTGTCTCTGCCACGGCTGGCTGCAGCAGCACCACACGTCCCTGTGCTCATGCCTGTTAAGTTAACCCTCTCTCACACTGTCTCCCTCGCTCTGCATGCTCTACTCTCCCACCCGCTCACCAGGTGCAGCACCTGTGCCTCGGCTGGCTGCAGCAGCACCACACGTCCCTGTGCTCATGCCTGTTAAGTTAATCCTCTCTCACACAGTCTCCCTCGCTCTGCATGCTCTACTCTCCCACCCGCTCACCAGGTGCAGCACCTGTGCCTCGGCTGGCTGCAGCACCACAACTCTACCATCCCTGCCACACTCCCATCCTCGGCACTCTCCTCATTGGTTGTTGCCACGTCAGCAGCTCCTCCCGACCAATCAGAGGATGCCCGTGGCAGGGGGCAGAAGTGCCCGGTGCAGCAGTCTGCTGGAAAGGAGGAGGAAGCTTCCCGGGAGCTCCTAGTGCGGCTGAATGTGTCTCACGATGCCCTGCTGGCAGCGTGGTGAGTTGGAGGCACGTGTTTGGTGCATTGAGGTGGTACGCTGATGTGGCATGATGAGGTGTTATGCTGATGTGGCACGATAAGGTGTTGATGTGGCACGATAAGGTTCTATGCGGATGCCAGAGGATGACCTGTCATGTGTAACAGATTCGAATTAGCATCATGATAGGAAAGGCGAGCAAATCTGGTGGTGTGGTAGTGCTACTTAAAGCCCGCTTGTAAGGACGTCCAACATTGTATACACTATAAAGCGTACAGGCCTGGGACAGCAAAACTGGCTCAATTTCTGTTGACTGGGAGCATTGATGAAAAAGCACGCGACTCTGGTTGACGGATTCAGAGCATGGGGTGTGCCTCTCCCCTTCCATCCCCCTCCCTTCTTCCTCTCCAGTGCACTGCGGTGCATTGCGGTGCACTGCCGCCATCCCTTCACCCTCTCCTCATCCCTGCCCCTCCATTCCCCTCCCTTCCTCCTCCCCAACGCGTGCCCGTGCCTCCTCCTTGCAGGGGGAACAGCCCTGCACGGCCACCTTCCCTTGAATCTCTTTCCCTTGCTCTTCCTCCCCCCCCTCTCTTCCCTTCCATCCCACTCCCTCGTCTCCAGTGCACGCCTGGCCCAGTCTCGCCTCCTCCTCGCAGGGGGCACAGACCTGCACTGCCGCCTTCCCTTGACCCTCTCCTCCTTTGCTCTCCGTTGCCCTCCCTCCCCCTCATCTCTCCCCTTCCATCCCACTCCCTCCCTCCCTCCTCTCCAGTGCATACCTGGCTGAGTCTCGTCTGCTTCTGGCAGAGGACACAGGCCTGCACTGCTGCCTTACCACGCCTTCACCCTCTCCTCCTTGGCTCTCCTCACTCGCCCTTACCCCCCTCCCCCCCCCCTTCCACTTCCATCCCTCTTTCCCCCTCCCTCGTCTCCAGTGCACGCCTGGCCGAGTCTCATCTGCTGCTAGCAGAGGCCACTGTGCTACACTGCCACCAGCGCATTCAGCTCAACCTGCCCAGGTATTCCCCCCGAGTGCACTACACTTCTGCCAAATCCCTGTTTCTCCCTTTAAGTGCACGCCTGGCTGAGTCTCGTCGGCTTCTTGCAGAGGGCGCTGGGCTGGACTGCCATTTCCCTGTTTTACCCCTAGAATTGCACAGTCGACTGGTTTCCAACGTTTGCTTCCCTTCATTCGTGCATGCACGTACATTTTGAATGCGTGGTGGTGCTTGGAGGATGCACACAGGGAGGACGTGGTTCATGCGTTGAGCACTGACCAAGAATTGCCGTGGTTGTCAAGGCATCTTGGATGACTGTTGGAAGCCCGGTGTAACAGCCCAGGCGTATTCCGGGAAGTACACAATACAGTGCGGTGCAGGGCCTATCTTTGCTTTTCCGCCCATCTGATTTTCACGAGTGATCCTTCGCGTAACTCTGATTTTCAGAGTGCCTTGGAGCTGTAACTCTGATTTTCCTGGGTTTTTCCTAAATTTCACTGATTTACTCTGATTCATGTAATCTCTTCTGCCATCTCATTTTCTAACCACTAGATGCATACAACAAGCAAAATTCGCGCCCACTGTCACTATTATTGCACTGTTACACAATACCTCCACCACCACGGCAACATCACTCATCCTCATCATCCTCAGAGCCCTCTATAGAGGCACTCTCACCATCATTTGAATCATCATCTACACTCTTAGCAGGGTTATGGGGGACCTCGTACACAACAGACTTGGCTTGCTTCCGCGCCTTCTGCTTCCTCCAGATGTCCACGACTTCAGGGTAGTCGACGTCATAGTCGAGCATGTTGATTGTCATGAGATCGCCCAGCCTTGTGTCACACAAGGTAGTGCTTAGCCAAGATTTGATGGCATTCTGTCTACTGAAACCCCTCTCGCACTCAACAGTGCTCAGTGGCAGCACTGCCATGGCCTGCCATAGCCTCATGAGGTTCGAGTAGCTCTTGGGCCGGGTCTTGAGCATGGTGGTCAGCCCCTGGTTGAAATCGTCATCCGCGCAGTGGTTCTTTATGATGTGACAGAACGTCTTGAGTTCCAGCTCTGCCGCCCGCTGGTTCACTCCTGCGATGATGGGGGGGAGGGCGGGGGGAGTTAAGGGGAAGCTTAGTATGACTTACCAAGCACGGCTGAAAATCGAACAAGGGACCAGCTAGCATGATGGTGAATGCAATCATACTTGGAAGCTTGTTGTCGAAAAGGTCCACGTTCGATTCCAGCCACGCCAGATGCCGCCGCTCATGCGCCTCCGCCTTCTTCGGCCAGTACTCCACCCTGAAGAGTCCCGCGCCGACAAGGCGCTTTAGGTCCCACAGCCGCTGCTCCACGTTGGTGACCAACTCCTTCGCCATCGCACTGCTCAACTCCTCGCAGTTCGCCTGGCTTCCCCCGAACTTGTGGCTAGGGAGACGCTCTTCGCTGAGTTCGAATGAATGACTGCACAGCCGGCCATCGCTGTCCACGCCGGCAACGACGATGCTTTTTTCGCCTTTGCCGAGGCGCTCAAGGAACTTCGACAGCTTCTTGCCCATGCCGCCACCGAAGGTGGTGCCGTACCTGATGTAGCAGTGCCTGATGTATGTGAGGGTGCGGTCCACCTCCTGAGACACGAGAATGATCTCCACCTGTAGGATGGTGAGCATAAAGAGCAGAGGAATGCATGTCAATAAACAGCAGTAGCTAACAAGTGTGAATGATGCAGAGAACATTATCCAGGGTATAATGACAAGCAGAATGGACAAAGCAAGTACAATAAATTAAACTCAGAGAGCTTACCGATCGCTTTTGAAAGAACCTGACTTACCGATCGCTTCTGAAAGAACCTGTTCAAGGTGTTCATCTCGGCGAGGACATCAGCGAGGAAGTAGAGGCAGTAGTGGAACTTCAGGGTCTTCACCACAGCTGCCAGCTTGTGCTTGTACTTGATGAGGATGACGATCGCCGCGCCAAGGATGCTACAGAGCTGCTTGATGGCATCCCCCCGCGAGAGCCACCGGATGAGGTACAACCCTGGTGCTCAAGGTTGGTGCTGCAGGTGCTTGAACCTCTCATACCAGGGGGTGGACCGGCCGACGATATCCCCCAATGCACGGATTACCGTGTCGATGATCTTGAAATCTGGGAAGGTGGTGGCGGCGTCCTTGACTGCAAGAGATTCCCTGCAAAAAATGGGAAGGAAATGTGAGAACAAGTTCATGCGCAAGCGTGCCACGTGTTCATGTGCAATAGGGTATGTAACCACGTATGATTTTACCTGTGCACGATGTAGTGGATGCCGACAAGGTGAGGACTCTTCACCCGCAGGCGCGCGGCCAGTCCTTGTATTCGCCAGTCATAACGGATGCCCCATCGGTGATGATTCCATAAATCTTCTGCAGGTCGATGCCGAGCGAATCCAAGTGTGACAGGATGATGGACTGCAGCGAGGCCGCATCGCATTTGTCGATGGTGAGCAGTTCGAGGAACTCCGTGACCACCTTGCGCTTCTTCAGGAACGTCGCGAACAGTATAAGGTGTTTCCCTCGCGTTCTGTCGGTGCTTTCATCGCAGCTGATGCTGATGAAGGGCGAGGTGTGGATGTGTGTCATCTGCTGCGCCTTCAAGAAGGCCACCATGGCATTGAACATCTCCTTGAAGCCGTACCTGAGAAGCGTACAGAAACACGAGTAGGTTAGTTTATTAGATTGAGGTCAAGGGACAACAGACGTTAAAAAGAAAGACGGCACACAGTGTGGAAATTAAGAGGTGTGGGAGATCTAGGGTAAACAAGGACTGCAGTGGTGAGTTGAATACGAACTCACTGTGTTATGTAGACGCCGTAGGTTTCCTTCGGAATGTCCTTCACTCCCTCCTGCGCTAGGAAGCCGACAAGCCGTGTAAACATGCTGAAGGTTGCGTCCTCCTTGCAGATGAACATCATCGCTTGGAGTAGACAAACGATCCGCGCACCCTCGGGGTCATTCGCAGCGAAGTCCTCCATTTTCTTATGATGTTCCACCTCCTTCAGCAGCATCTCTTGTTTCTTCACTGCGTCCTCATGCTTTTGGCTCTCCAGATGCCAACGCATCGACCCCACTTGATGATCTCGACCACCACTACCCTCGCGCCCATATCTTACGTGTAGGGGACCGTGATCCATGCAAATACTGCAACGCAAGTACGGGATTCCATCGTCCGTTTCATCAAGGACCAGCCAGGGAAATTTTGGCAACCAATTGTTGGTGTATTTGAGTTGCGCCTTTTCATATGCCCTCACACGTTTCTCTGCGATCGTAGGTTTAACAGACGACACGGAGACCGGCTCTGGCGGTGGCGGCGTTGGTGGTTTAGGCGGAGGCGGTGCGAATGGCAAATGCGATTGCTGCTATCGACGCCTTTTCTTTCACGTCGATGGAGTAGAGGCGGGGGTTGTCGCGGCGGGAGGGGCAGGGGCCTTCGACGAGGGATTAGCAGCAGATGGGGCTCTCGTGGCAGGAGGAGGGGTAGGGATTTTCGACGCGGGAGTAGAAGCAGATGGAGTTTCTGTGGCGAGAGGAGTGGTGGGCGGGGGCTTGGCGGGCGAGGCAACCGTCTCGGTTACCTCGTCGAGATCTCGCTCCCACTCTTCGCTGCTAAGAGATGGGAGGGGTTTCGAATACACAGAAGTGGCATGGGTTCGACGAAGGAAATCAAGGCCACTGAGGGGTGCGCCTCTAAACAATGCTTAGCACTAGGATCCCCCCCCACCCCCCCTCCCATCATCCTCATCGTCCGAGTCTCCCATGACGGACTCTGGCGGGGAACAACTGAGACTAGGAAATTCGTTCTGACTCAAGACTCGGAAAATCGTTATGCTCTAGCGGTTATGAACTCCTTGGGGCAAGGGAGAGTCGGAGGGGACGATGGTTTCTTGCAATGATGGATCAAACCCGAAGGGAAACAACTGGCTTTACTGTCTCCTCAGGTGTGGCCCAAGAGGTGAGGTGCATGCCACAAGATCAGCAATGCTAGCCGCATTTGGGTGCGCTGCCGAGGTGATGTGCTGCCTGCTACTACCATGCAAATTTTTCCTTAGTGCCCAATGGGCAGACGGCAGTCTTCTTGCAGTGGCAATTTCAGCTGCTGCTCGCTTGATTCCTGCTGATGCCACGAAAGAAGATGCCCAAGTGTCCAATGGGTAGAGAGGCATCTTCCAGCATGAGGAATCTTGGCTGCAAATGACATGTGGTTGGTGAGCGGTGCGCGTGAAAGCGCCCAGGAATCACGGCCACGCGTACAAGTGTCTAAAGGGAGTACATGGATAATCTGGGGGTATGCCCCCTGTAGGAAATCCCACATGGTGGTACATGGACCAACTCTGATAAATTAGAGGAAAATCTACTTTCAAAAATTTTATCCAGGACCATCAAAGCGACTTTCAAAAACACTCTGATTTTCAGAGACACAGAGTGAATTACTTTGATAAAATAAGCCCTGGTGCGGTACGGAGTGTCAAAATGCGCATTTCTAAATGCCGTATTCCCCTGGATATACGCGCAGGGGTGCGTTTAGGGAATATAGTATAATGTTGGGGGGTGCGTTTATTCGAATTTTTGCGATATGGCCCAGTGCGTTTAAATTGGTTTTTTTAAGAAAACAAATAACGGCATCAAAATGTACTTCTAACAGCCGCCAACCCAATTCAGGCTTTTGCAGCAGCGAATACAACAGAGATTCGCATGAAATTGGTCCGGAAACATCGAACCAGCCAGGCGTGTGTGGATGCTGCCAAACGGACCAACCACGAGCACTGCGGCGCAGACGCTGTCACAGCTCAAGTGTTGGTGAAGCTGCGTTGGGGTTTTTGTGCGAATATGCTGTCTGGCAGTCCAATCGCAGCCACATGCCCAGAGGGCAGCATCCAGCAAGGCGAGCTGGAAGCTCCAGAAGAATATGCTTGCAGCTTCGTGCTGCCACGACGGTGCCCTCTCAGCTCGTAAACGAAGAGGAATCCTCTTCGTGCACCCGCTGAGGAATCGGGGAACACCCTGGTTGAAGCTTCATTATTTCCGTAGCTTCTCGACCAAGCATCTTCATGCGTCCTCTCTTGCCAGACCGCCGCCATGGCTGGCCTTCCCACCCACAGCCATGTCTGTACTGTTCGGCAGCCCTCGTACACCAACACGCCTCTCTCGACAGGACATAGCTGCTGCCCGAGTTAGTAGATTTAGTGGTTTCCGTGCTGCACCCCCTGCTCCTCCCGCGCCGCCCGCTCCTCCCGCTCCTCCTGCTCCTCCTGCTCCTCCCGCTCCCCCGGCTCCTCCTGCACCGCTGGCACCTCCAACCCCTCTGACGCCCTCCCCTCCTGGGAGCTCGCGACCATGGTATTTGCGGTTGCCCTTGACGGAGGCCGACGGAGTTCCTGTTATGAAATTACTGCTGCCCGGCGACCCGTTCCCGCCCCAGCCCAACCGATGCGACATGGAGAGCATCTTGGACGAGAAGGAGGCTCTCGAATCCCCGCGCGCTCGCGACTGGGGGATTCCCAACGGTGACGACTGGCCGGAGC